GAGAGAGAGAGAGAGAGAGAGAGAGAGAGAGAGAGAGAGAGAGAGAGAGAGAAGAAATAAAATCAGGAGTTTAGAATATTAGTTGAACAGATGACAACATCACCACAACTTTAATACAACCAAGGGTCTACTGAAATCTGCAAACACATTTTCTCGTATAAGAGGAGCAGCCTGCATCGAAAGAAACAACCAAAATATTTAGCAGACATCTAATCCTGGTGGGCAGAGCCTAGCCCAGAGTGCTATAATCTGTTTACTTGCCTCATATCACGAATGTGAAGGCATATAATATACTATAAATGTCTTTAATTAATGATAAGGGGTAATGTTAGAAAACATACCTTACCACATATGTATGTGTACATGTTCATGTAAAAAAGTTTTAGTTACAAAGATATCTGTCACGAATGAATGAAAAAATCTCTGTTTTTGTAGCATACATAAAGGATTGAACACTAAAATACAGACCTGTGACATATTATCTGTGAATAATAGATTTAAATCACAAAAACTCCTATCTGAGCTCTGATAAATGATGGTGGGACCACTGGTTTCATGTAGGATTATGTTACTTTAGCACATTGGTCTCATACCAAGAATTTGGTTTAGCAAGGATTAGTTTGACTGAACAGAAAGGAGGAAATCTGCTAAGAAACAAACCTCAATCCTGCTTTGGCTACGGGGCTTTTGTGGTAAGGTAGAGTTGTTCACTCATGTTAATGTTCCTTAAAGAATCTAAAGTACAAAGAACTTAAGGGATGACCTTAAGTTGCTTAGAGTACAAATGGCACTTAGAGCAATGAAGTTGAAACAGGAAGATACTATTTAATACTTGCATTAAGGATTTTTAGAATGAAAATAGAATTCATGTAATGGTGAGAAAATTGCTATTAGTCTATATATGAGTATATGAGGTTACAGACTGTGGATCTCTTGGGCTCTGCTGGTAGACACAACTCAAAATCAGGAGTCAAAGGGTAGAGTGAAGGATCAGAAAGAGGCTGTGGTGTTAGCCGGAAATGGAGCCTGACAAAGATGCTGGCCTAAAAATAAGGATTAGAGAGCATGAATCAGAGGCAGAATAAGGCTTGGAGGAGAAATAGTCTCAGGGTAGAGGCCTTGTCTGTGTTGTCTGAGCCTTGTTCATTAGTTCGCTGGGACACGATGTAATCCAGAAACTGACGAGGGATGAGGATCCTGAGTATCTTGAATAAATCTCCATCGACCACAGGCTGCAAATCTGTAAACAAAGCTAATCTTTTATCTGAGATGCTAACTAGTTGTGTGAACTCAGTTAAAACAGAGACAAAGGAGTATAAACTCAGCATTTCTTTTTTGTTTGTTTCGTTTTTAAAATTGGATATTTTATTTATTCACATTTCAGATGCCAACACCTTTTCCCATTTCCCCTCCTTAGAAACCCCCTATCCTATCCCCCTCTTCCTTTTTGCTTTTATACCATTTTTATTACATGCAAGTATTAAGGTCAGTTCTAGGTTCTTTATGAACACTTATTTTGTCCAAAATGTGCAATCTTTAGTCAATATTATTTTTAAAAAATGGACAATACCCAAACCTGAAAAACTGACTACATAAACTTATTGTCCTAACTTTAAGCTTGGACAAGTGGGCCATGAACAATTAAAAGTTAATGTTTAGTGGGATGAAAGATAGAGGATATGGGAAAAACTTGAGAAGGATCAAGCAGTGCCCTGTGGCAAGTCTTCAAGAACACTTTCTTGTCTGGGAATTGTTAGAACATGACCTCTCATAATCAACTTAAATGAGGAACAGGCTCTTCCTTGCCTTGACTGAGTAACTGATCAAAAGAAACCTTGCCAAAAGACTGTTTCCCATATTTAAGCTTCTTTGCTTTGGCAAATATGTTAACTCCTACATTCAGCAGACTACAAGAAGGCAGTCAAAGCACAGTGGTCCAGCTTGATCACTTTGTACATACGGGTACACCTGTATCAATTCTACAACAATGAATATGCATACTGTATCTTTCAAATATCCAAGTATGTCTCTTATACCCCATTGTGTCTACATCCCCCAAATAAAGCAGCATCCTGATCTTCACGGCTATGTGTTGTTTTGATCAATACTTAACCTTTCTAGAGTTGACATAGGTATATCTCAATGCTAGCTTCTCTGCTAATAAGGCTAAATAAATCATTCATGGTGCATATGAAGATATTTGCATTTGTCAATAGCTATGTAGCAGTCCATCACATAATATGTATGTATGATACAATGTATCCATTTTATTATTCAGAGACACTTTGATGTATTTTCAGTTGGAATTTTAGTAAAAGTTTATAGAAACATTTTATGGATATATCTTTTGGTACAAACTTCATGTTCCTATTTTGGGGGTGAACTCTATAAACTAGAGTGAAACTATTGGGCTGTATAAGTGATTTTGTTTTCTTTAGTAGAGTTTTAATGAATGATTTCTCAAAGCAGTTCAATTTTTAGTAAATTCATGACTTTATAAAACAATTCCTGCTGCGTATCATCACCTGTTATCTGTTTTTGTTTGCACATAATGTTGTTTCATTACAATGTTTACTTGTATTTCTACCATGATGAAAAATACTGAGTATATTCTAGTGTTTTATCAGACACTAGGTATCATCTTTTGTGTAGCCTTTATTCAATATTTTATCTATTATTACAATTACTTCCTTATACTTTTCTTATTGGTTTGTTTAAATTATCCATATGTTCTTGATAAGCTTTCAAAATGTATCAGTTTTTTATTAGCTTGTGGCTTAATTTCAACTCCTTTTTCTCATTTTTGTTAGTTCTCCAGAATTCCATACAATGTGTTTTCATCATATTTGCCTCCTTCACCAACTACTTCCACACCCATCCCTTTCTTTCTTTAGCTACCCAACTTTGTGGTGTTTTTTTTTTTTTGGTTTGTTAGCCTGTATTTTAACCCTATAAAGCACAATTTATGCTGGCCATATACTCTTGAATATGGGATCTAGCATTAAAGTCTATTCAACTTACTAGGTTTCATATCTTCAAAGAAAACAGACTGTTTTTCAGAAGGCATCATTTGCCAACTATGGGTGGAACTTCATGTCCATTTCCTTTCTCTGTGTTGGAATTGTGTCTGTCTTGAACTTGCTGCTAGTGCCATGTCTTGTGCATTCTATGACAATCCCTGTACATTCATACCTACAATATCGCTGCTATCTTCAGAAGACAATTTTTTATAGACAATGTCCTTGAATCAAATAACTATTTCTCCCTTTTTCTCAATAATTTCTTGCTTTATAATGAGGGTTTATGGAATAGCTGTCCAATATCTTATTTAGTAAATGTTTTAAAAGTAGATATTAAGTTTTAGTTTTACTTACTACAGCTAATGCTATGTTTGTATGTCTCTGTGTATAGGAATGTTTGATATTTTTGTTATCTGAATAGACAAATTATGAAAGAATTTATTTTGGACATTGACCCAACCTTTATAAAATATTGAAGAATAGCAAAGTTTGAAAATTTGTACTACTAAATATTAAAACTTACTATAATGCTGGCCATGGACAGCATTGGTGTCATAAGTTTAGAAAAACTGATCAAAGGACTATTATAGGATATAAAAATAAATTTACACATATTATCATCTGACTTAAGACAAAGGCTAACATGAAATTGAATAAAGAAAATTCAGTGGAATATATAATTCAAAATAATGAATCTGAACTCTATATCACATTTTAAACAAAAAATATGTTTTACATGCCATATATTTAATAGTAAATAATGCATTATTTATTGCAGATTACATGTTTGACAAAAGTCCACACTTATTTTGATAATAGCCTACTATACGAGTATCTAGTCATAAGTTTTGAAATAAATGATCATCTTGTGCTTTCTCTTTTTAACTTTTGTAATACATTTAATTCATTATCTTCCACACTAATGTCTACTACATAAATAAACATGTACTCAAAGCAGTATAGAATATATACTGAAGGCAATATTTTCAAAAATCAGAGAACAAAAGAATGGCACACACAACAGGAAACATAAGTAAAACAAAGAGAACATCACAAGAGGAATGAAAAAGGGAAAGGCACAGAGAAGAGACACTGCTGAAGAAGGCTTGGACAGGTATGATTTTTCAGGCTACACGCTCTCTCATGAAGATACTGAAGCCTGGAATAAAGATTAAAGAACAGCAGAAAGAAATTTAAACAGCTAAAAGTTGTGCTCCTCCTCCAAGACCACAATGTGTTCTGTAAATTGCATTTCTTATGTAAAGTAAAACTGTTTATCCACAGAATGATTCATGATTCCCCAACATAAACTGCAGATGCAGGACTGTGATGTTCCTCTGCTAACTGCTTATTTTGACCACAGTTTCAAATAGATTCAGATGAAATAAAACGTGTCCAGACTCCACTAATCCACAGTTTGAAGCTTTACACTTCTAGCGGGGATGCGAACAACTTCAGCCTCTCTGGAAGTCTGGAGGGTTCTCAAAAATCTAAAAATCGGTTTATCACATGACACAGCTATACCACTCCTGAGTATGTACCCAAAGAGCTTCAAGTCAATATATTTCAGAGACATTTGTAAACCCATGTGATGTTTCTTCTAACAACATACACATAGATAGCAAACTACATAATCAAATCCTTTTCAGCCAGAAAGAAGAACATAGTCATGTCTTTCAAATTAAGACAATCTCGTAAGACAAACTGTACATCTTTTCTCTCTTCTGTGATTCCTTGATATCATATAGGTACCTAAAATCATGTACAGATATATGACATACAAGTAGCAGTAAAACTGTTTATTGTAGAAAGAGATTAATTGAAGGGAAAGGAGAGACAGGGAAGGAAAAGAAGGTATGGGGCAGGGAAATTTACTCAAAATATATACATGTATAAAATGTAAAACTTAAGTAAAGATGTCCAAATTGGAGCTATCTGATCTTACTCCAATAGTTTTTGAGAATGAACTCAAAAAGTAACATTATCTTGGACAGAATATATTGCTCATAAATCCTATTAAAATTGCAGAAATGGTGGACCTTTGCTTTAGATCATGTCAACATTAACAGACTTTTTATGTAATCGATTTTATAGCAATACTGCTGAACTGTTATATATCCATTTCTTTTACAGTTAAATGGACTGAAATATGATGTATAACTTACCCACATCCATGTAGCTCTTAAAATTCTGTGCTGATGCAAACCTGGTCTTTGTCTGTACAGTGTACTAATGAGTTAAATGACATTTCAAAAAGATCTGCTCAATGAGGCAGTAAGTACAACTGCTTTACCAGATCAAAGAACAGCAGCAGATATGCTTTATCACATGTTCACAACAAAACTATAGCCCATAAATTTCAAGTAAAGATTATGAGCCTATTTCTAGAACATACGGTGACCTAGACAACTTTATCAGTGTTAAATTTTTGTACATAGAACACACTGTAAAACTGTGCTGCAGGATCCACAGAATCACAAAACAATAGAAAGATTCCTGAAAGTCTCAGTAGTGATAAAGAAAATGAAAATATTTTGTCAGTTTTATTTCATTTTCTAACTCAGAAATAAATATGCATTGAAGTGTGTGTGATATAAATATGTATGTTCATGTGTATATATATTTGTGTTCATATGTATGTTCATTTATATTTACATGTGAGTGGAGGCCAGAGGTCAAGGGGCAATGTAGGGTATCTTCTTTATTTGCTCCACACTTAATTTTTTTGAAATGAGTTTTCTCACTGAGATTAGTCTATATGACTGGGCCAGCAAATCCCAGAAGTCCTCCTAACCCCATATCCCCAGAGCAAGGATGAAATCAGTATAAGCAATCCCACTTGTTTTTGGAGTATTCTGTACTTGATTGAATTCTGGTCCTAATATGTATCTGGCAAAGACTTTATCTACTACATCATTTCTCCACACTTTTATTAAAATTTTATTATTAAGTATGTTTTTTTCTTCATGTTTGGCTGATTATGAATAGCAAACACACTCAGTGTGAAATCTACCAAGGATTTTCTTTAGTGCCTGGTGTGTAGTGCTTGCATTGCATTAATGAGATGATACTAAGATATTCGAGTTAAGTTGAGATGAACCAAAGATGCAAAGAAAGCTAGTCTACTCTCACAAGGATCTCGGTGATGACAAAAAGCAAATATCTACAAGAAGATACGATTCTGATAAAAAGAGAAAACAACAGAAGTATATGGAAAGCTAAGTATTCGAATGTCTCTTGAGTTTGAAGATAAGAAGTAAAATGAGCTTTCAAAAGAAAAGAATGACATTTCAGACCAATAGATTGAACACACATATAAAAATAGAAAACCCACTCTAGAATGAATGCTCTGAATTTGTCATATCCTTGCTTTTAATTTTACTTATTATCCCAGAACCACTAAAGAAGAGGGCCAGGAATTGTTTGACTTGATTGTGATTGCAAACAAAAATAAATCCAAACTGTTCTCAAGTGAATTTTAGGGAGCCTATCCTATTTATCCCCTTTTGCCTAGGCATAATTTAACACGCAAATGATTAAAACCAGAGACACTTCAGAAAAGGACATAAACAATAAGAATGTTTATTTGACCTTTTTTATCTCTCTCTGTCATCTATCTGTCCAACTTTCACTTATACACCAATAACTTTTTAAAACATATATATTCATTTATATATGTAAATCTTTCTGCATAAAATTATATTGAAAACGTTCTCTCCATGCCTTTTCTATTTTTCCACTGTATATTAACAAAACATTTAATGAAAATATTTATTTACATATTTCTTTAAAAAGGTGACTTAAGTATCTATAAAGGAAGAAAATACAAAATAGGTAGTAAAGAGTTACTTTGTGTTTGTTCTCACATGGCAGTTAAATGAAAGTTAAAGGAAAAAATAGGCTTTTAATACAGAATTTTCTTTTCTTGATAAGGAAATTGTAATGAATGCCTAGAAATAGTCTGCAAGAAATGAAAACTAAGTATCACTTAAAACTTGCTAACCTGTAACCAGAATTTGGCAGAATGACATTATGTTGATAAAGTACTAAAAGTTATCTAAAAATTATTTAAAATTTGTAGACAAGGAACTTTGCTTGATTGCCAAAGTACACAGTTTACTGAGGAATTTATTTGCCGGTGTTCTAAGAAGAAAACAGGAAAAGAATGTGGTTTCTTCAGTAGATCAGCCTGCTTTATGGATTGGAAATGTATGATTGTCATTTATTTCCTGCTACACTGCTATTTACAAAGAAGAGTGTTGACTCAACACCAAGTCAACTGTTATGGAAACTTAATTGTTTTGGTGGTTTTTTTTCTGTTGGTCCTGTCAATCTCTGGCATTGCTCTACCCAACACAGTGCTGTCTGTATTTATATCACTGATGACTTCATATAGAGTAGCATCCAGCTTTAAATATGGTTTCAAAAGAATTTGGAAAGTGTTGGAAAGCACAGAGTAACTTGATTTGCATGCAAGCCCCAAACATGGTGCCAGTTGGCTGCTTTCTGCTCATCTCCCTCCCATTTTCATAAATTGTTCTCTTTCTGCTTCAGCTTTTTAGCATAGTAGAAAATGATCTAAACTGACTTTTCTGCTAAAACAAAGAATCAAGACACATTGGTTTAACATATGATGTAACAACATGATAGGGTATTTAAAATTGGAGCTATCCCAAAACACCCTTGGGAGATAAATAAAGAGTAATGTGTTTGTGAACACATCCTGTTCATGAAAATAAATGCATTTAAAAGAAACTTTAAAATCAATCATTCACTCAGAAATCAGCTACCAAACGTTTAGTAACCATAAATGTATAATGAAACAAAGACCCGGTATCTATGTGCTAACTAGGATCAAAAGTGCTTTTATCTCAAAACTAATTACACATATTCTAGCTAAAAAAACTCATAGTGCAGGATTTAAAATTGGCAGCATCTCTTGTGTGAGACTCTTTTGCTTATATGTGCATTCAAAATGTTTCTCTTGAGTCTACTAAGATGCCTAATACTGTAAACTTAGCTAAATGCTTAGGGCTAGTAAAGTCATGATTATTGGAAGAGTATCTATAACACGTATCTACTAGACCAGCTCAATCCTTACTTGATGAAGTTGTGGCCAATTTCTGTGGTCAATAGATAGGGGCATATGGCTATCTATACTCCTTATTATTTAATCCTCATTGAAAGTATTACAGTTTCCTCTATGCTTGGATCACATGTTTAGTAATCGCGCCTTCACAGGACCAAAGGCTTCTCCTCCTATTAATGTTATCCTCTGCTACATACAAGGCTAGAGCCATGGGTCCCTTCATGTATACTCTTTGGTCTATAGTTTAGTCCCTGGGAGCTCTGGGGGGATCTGGTTGGTTGATATTGTTGTTCTTTCTAGACCCACAGATAGGGCTTCAACCCTTATAAAATAATCTTCAACTCTTATCAAAGAAACTTCATTCTGAAATAGAAGGTGACCACTAAAAAAAACAAAACAAACAAAAAACAAATAATCAAATACATACTTGTGGAGCCCAGTTCTGATGGATATATCTGCAAAACACTCTCATACCTAACACACAGAAACACTACAAAGAGCTAGAAAGGTTATAAGAGCCTGAGAATCAAAGTATTTGCTTCTAGTTTGTGTTTCCTAGCAATGTCAGATGCCAAATCTCTATAGTCTTAACAACATATTTTCTCAAACATAAACTGAACAAGGAAGATTCCAGTGAATATGCCAAACTGAACAGAAGAGTCCACAAGACTTCAGTCCTACACAAAGAAGTATGCACAGAGGAAAACTGGAAATGGGAGAGTTCACCTTTCTAGGCAAGAGTACACCAATTGGTTTATACACTGCTTGATGGCCAGCTATGAAAGCATACCTACAGGTAGTGTTGTACAGACTGAATAGATTATACTTAGGAATTTAGTGAAATAGGAGGCCATGAATTAGAAAGAGAGGAAGAAAGTGCATTTGAGAGTTTTTGGAAGAAGAAAAGAGAAAAGGGAAATATAACTAAATTATAATCTCAAAAAATGTCATAAAATTTTTGTTTGTTTGTATTAAATGAGTTTTGTGTTTTCAAGTTGTTCTTCCCATGCCCTCATGCTCCTGTTCCACTGTTTGAAGACAAGACACCCTTGTGTATTAACGTCTTTTTCCCTAGCTGAACACTTTCTTATGAGAGTTTGCTGGGAGTTGATTATCATTCAAAAAGGTTCTGTCCACATAAAATTTAGATTCTATCATATCTAAACATCTTCCACATAAAGAATGAGGCATATAATTTTTATAATATAATTCTAATAGAATTATAATTTGTAAACATTATACTCTTGCTAACATACACCCATTTTGCTATTGAAACTGTATTTCCTGCCTATTCTTATAACAGTAATCCAGATATATTAAGAGTTTGAAACAATAAGCATACTCAACAGTTTCTGGGTATTAGTGACTAATATTTGAGTCTGATGTCTCATCAAGGAAAGTCGGGTGTCAGTAGAGATCACAGACAATTATCATCCCTGGGTTTGTCCAAGTTGATTCATTAATAATTTGAATGTTGCCTTTGTTTTTTCATGGGGAGCTTTAGGCATATTCCTGATTGTCCTACTGAATTCTGAAGATTATTTCAACTGGCAAACATCCAGGTTTCACAGTAAAATTTCAATCAAATTTTAAGAGGTTGGAGAGTTGGCTCAACGGCTAAGACTACTTGTTGCTCTTCTAGAGGACCTGAATTCTTATTCCCAGAACACACTTGTAGTGGCTCACTGAAACTCCAGATCCTGGAGACCTCATGTCCACTCCTGGTTTCCACCAGCCCCAGCATGCATGCATAAAAACATAAATAAATATTATATAACATGTAAAGTTTTTTTATGCCTGTAGCATTAAGAAGACTGAAATAAAGATATTAGCAACTTTGATGGAAAAGAAAAAGATTTTTGTTTGCAGGGCTAGGTAGAGAGACCTAAAGTATGGTATTTATATATTCCTGAGCAAGTGCTCCAAGAGCAGAATAAATTGTAGTGCTTTTAATGAGATTGAGATGATAAAGAACATAGCTATATGCCACTATCTACTGACCGGAAAAACTCTCAATGACTTGACCTAATGTTCCAGAGGCCAAATAAAGGCATAAGTACCATAAGGCTAGGATGGTCCAAGAACAGTAGAAAATCATTTATTTATTATTTTTAGAACAGAAAACTAC